GGGGGGGGGGAGAAGCACCCCAGCTGAGCCCAAGCCCTTCATTCTGGAGGCTCTGCCTCTCAGGTGGGAAGCAGCGCTGAGCACCTCTTGGCTCCCTGGGGCTGGGGCTTCATTCCCTGGCCTCCTTCCTGCCTCAGGGCCTCTGCCAGCCTCTGCCCCAATCCCGGGGGGCCTCCTCTCCCACCGAGAGTTTAACTGGAAGCTGTGCGTGTGTGCCCCTTACCATCTTGACGAGGGCACTGCTGGGAGGCCGGGAGCTGGAGGGGCGGGGGCTGGCGTCTGGATCGTCGTCTTCTCGGGTAGCTGGCAGGGAGGCAGGGGTTTGTGGGGGCTCCCAGGTGGCTGCCATGCCTGCACCCACCTTCTCCAGCCTCCTCCGCCTCAGGGCTGAACTGGGGCTTGGTGCTTCTCCCAATTAGATAGGCCCCTCCTTTTAAAGGGTGGGGAGTGGGACTCTGGCTGCTTTAGAACAATGTCCCTCTTTAGAACAATGTCCCTCTTTAGAACAATGTCCCCTCTGCCCATTCAGGGGCCATGTGCACACTGTGCAGTGTCTGCTGCCCAACAGTGCACCCCTGCTCTGCTTAGCTGTGCCAGCACGCACACATTCAGCACCCGGACACATACACTCACATGCGCACACATGTACAGGTGTACGCGCACACACATGCATGCATATACTCATGCACAATTGTGAGCACACATACAGGCATATGCATTCACATATATGCACACGCACACGGGCACATGCACATTCACACAGCCACATGTGTGTGCACACGCACATTCATACACAACCTTGTAAGGCTCATACACTCACATGTACATGTCTGTGTATACCCACGTGTACAGGCACATGTGCTTACACCCACGTGTGCACACACACACATGTGCACACAGGCACTCAATCCTGCACATGTTATGCACCGTCCCACAACCCCCCGGGACAGATCCCGGGTCACTCTGGGCCCCAGAAGAGAAGGAAGATCTCCTGGCTCCTGCCCACACTCCACCTGAGTCCTCCCCCGGGCCAAGCGGTGTGGGGAGTCCCGAGGGTGTCTCAGGGACCCATCTCAGCAGTGTAGCAGGGAGAGCACCAGGGCCCAGGACTGATGTACCCTGCTACCTGCTCAGATGGCACTCTCACCCCCTGCCATCTACACTCACCCCTCCAGGGGCCGTGTCACCCGTCTAATCGTTTCTTTACAACCCATCTTCAATGCCACTGTGAGGGGTCCTCTATCTGCACCCGCCCCCCAGGTCTGTCCAGTGCCACCTGTGCCCCGGGCCCTGGCCTCCCAGGACTGGAGGCCTGTCCTTGCACTTCTCTGTGGCAGCTGGATCTCCTCCGCCAACCGAAGCCCGACAGTGGGCACCAGTGAGGGCGGTCTAAAGACAGTCCATCGGGAGTGCCTGGGGCTTTGGGGCAACTTGTGGCCTCTCTGCAGGCCAGCCCAGCTGGCCCTGAGGGAGGAAGGCCAGGAGCAACCGATAAGATCGGAAGGGTGTGGAGGGCCCAATGTTTGGTGTGTCCAAGGCTGATGACCGTTGATTATGACCTGGGTGGTTGGCCGCCGGCCGGAGGCTGCCCGGGTTCCTCAGGAGGTCGGACGGCTGCTGGGGAGATGGAGAGCCCGTGGGCAGAGGCCTCGGCTGTCCGACTCACCTTGCAGATCGGACACTCGCTTCAGGCTGATGGGGGACTTGGCTCTGTGCAGCTGGAGGGGGAGAGGGGGGAGGAGGAAGAGGATGGAATCAGATCAGGACCCAGCACATGTGTCACTGTGCCAGCTGGCGGGGGCCGGCGAGCAGAGCCAAGGGAGCAAGCTCACCCAACGGCGGCAGTGCCCAGCAGCCACCCAGTGTGAGTGACAGGACACTGGCTCCTTGGGGCTGATGCTCTGGGCCCACCAGGCAGCTGTCGGGGCAGGCCAGTTCCTGCCTGGAAATGGGACCATCTGGTGTGTGGCAGAGATGCAGACAGCCCCGAGTGGTGGCAGGGAAGGAGGGTGGAGTGGGGGATCAGAGACCGAGCAGACCTGGGTGCAGGGCGCCCGGGAGTTTCTGGGACCATTTCCCCGTGAGTGTGAGGGTCCCTGTGAAGATGTACCGCCCTACATATCATCACAGGGTCACGTAAGTCGGAATCTGCTTGATGGCAGGGGGTCTGGTTTATACCGATGATGCAGCCTTGCTGACTCACAGTGAGCAGGACCGGAAGCCCTTACGATAAAGATAAATAAAGGCTGTAGCCTTCCTCGCTGTAAAGGAAGCACAGGCCCTCACACCTGGACCAACACGCAACATCATGATCAGTGGAGGAAAGGTGCAAGTTGTCAGTGATCTCACTTTACGTGGGCCCACAATCAATGCTCACAGAAGCAGCAGTCAGGAGGTCTAAGGACATCCTGCATCGGGCCAGTCGGCTGCACAAGACCACTGGAAAGTGTTAAAGAGCAAGAGTGCTGCTCTGAGGATGGAGGCGCGGCTGACCCAAGCTGTGGTCTCTTCCGTCGCCTACTGGGGCACTGAACAAGGAGGCCTGAGGGGGAAGTGAGGCATGTGAACTGGGCCGGTGCTGGTGAAGATCAGTGTGCCATGACCGCAGGGAGAACCACAGCCAGAGCGCCGTGTGGGGACCAGGGGAGAGGCTTCATCTCGCCTACTGTGGACATGGTGTCAGGAGAGACCAGTCCCTAGTGAAGGACATCCTGCTTGGTCAAGTGGGCAGCAAAAACCAGCCCTCAAGGACATGGATTGGCACAGTGGCTACAGCGAGGGGCTCACTCAGATATAGCAATGATTGTGAGGATGCCGCAGGGCTGGAGCTGTGCGGTTTTGTTGTACCTGGGGTTGCTGTTGCTGTGTCTCCACCACCACCACTACCGCTACCACCACCACCAGCAGCACCACCACCACCATCACCACCACTACCACCACCACAACCACCTGCACTACTACCAACAACATCAACACCATCACCACCACCACCACTACCACCACGACCACCACTATCAAAACCACCACCCCTATCACCACCACCAAAAACACCACTATCAAAACCACCACCACTATCACTATCATCACCACCACTATCACCTACACCACTATCACTACCATCACCACCAACACCAACACCACTACTATCACCACCACCACCATCACTACCACCTACACCACCACCACTATCAAAATTACCATCACCACTTTTATCACCACCAACACCAACACCATCACCACCACC